TCCCGCTAATTATCCGTTCAAAAGGGGTCGTCGAATCGTCGACCGACCCTCCACCAGTGCGCCAATTTTTCGCGGGACCAAAACAATCGTAGCAACCCGTGCGCCGCCGCGTATACGTTTGATAGGGGACGATGGGACAGCAGCCCCCGGGCCAACGGGATAAATTACAACGGGGGAAAATTAGCGTTATTGTTCGCGGTAGAATTCGTGAGCGATTCTAGAAATCGAATGCGAGGATTTTAACGTTAAACGTTGTTAAAACGTTAATCGCCCGTTTTTAAGGTCGTATGCAATTACGGGAGGATAATCGGAGAAAAAGTAATTGGCCGTAAGTAAGGAGGAGGTGGCGAGTGGTTTGCAGAGAGAGAGAGAGAGAGGAAGAAGTTCGTTTCGGTAGGGGAAGAGAGGGGGGGAAAAACGATCATCGATTTGAATTTCGCGTCAGTTTCGCGAATGTTAATAATTTGGGTAGAATTTGATAGAATTCGGCTTGAATACGGAGGGACGTTAATATTGAATCGGTCGATCCTTTGTCCGCGTTCTCTCGTTGGATTTCCGAGTGGGTGGAAAAATGAACGGACACCGGGGAGGCCAGGGAATTACCAAATCCACGTCACATCCCGTCACGAGCATCGAACTCTGGCCGGGCGATAAATCGAGCCTCGAACGGCCGCGCCGCTACATTTGTTCAACGTCCTCTAATTAACAGGCGTGACCGGTCGAATAGAAAATTACGCGATCGAGGAACCATCTGCGAGTGACGGTTTCAACCGGGGCTAATCACGGGGCCGGCGTTCACCCACGGCGTTAAATTAACGCCGAAAGGCGTCCGAAAACGCGCCCCGCGATTTTTAAGAAGCGGAACGATTTATTCCGTTTTCGAACGGATGATATATCGGTGGATATATTTCGAAGCGTTAACGAACGCATCTCGTTGCGCCCCGTTTATTTATTCACGCCGTTGTATCATATTTTGCATTATTTGGAATTATCGGTAGCGTAGTTGAACACGGCCAATATTTATTACGGATAACCGAGTCGACCACGTATAGATATTTTTGGAGGCGATATTCCATCGTTCGAAATCGAGATTCAGAATCTGTTGTAAAACGTCGAAGATTACCATCGAAATTGATTCGAAGACGAAATCTCGACGAAACGTGTCACAGCTCGAAGAAACGCGATTAACGGATGTGCAAGTGGTTAAACCGTATTGCGGGTGAAAACCGGTTGTGGGAGAGGAGATGAAAAGGGACGAAACTAACAATTAACAAAGTCCAGGAAAGGGGGCGGTTGTGACCGAATCTCGTCTAATTTACGTTTCCGCGGCGGACGCCTCGGAAATGCGAATCCCTTAATTTACCCTTCCGCCGGTGCTCTCGTGCCATGGATTCGCGGCAATTTATTTATCAGAACGAGAACAGTCGCCGCTGGCGGTAACACGAACGTAACATGAATCACCGGCGAGGCATAAAGCGGGCGGCGCAGTCCAGGTAACGAGAAAAAAAAAAGGAGAGAACCGACGACAACGAGAGAACAAGAAACCGATAAATACAATGGGGGACAAAAAAGAAGTAACGAAAACTCGTTACATTTCCCTTTATAATTCTACATCCTCTTTTTCGATCACAGTTCATCACCATCGAACCACCGCTCTGAATGAAAATATCGAGAAGGCGATATTTCGACGAACAACGAT